AACAGTTGTCTTTCCTGGACTAATGCAAGTCTTCTACTGATCTCTTCGCGTGCCTCTTCACTATTTTTTTCTAAAAAATCCAAATCTGATTATGTCACTCTCCTAATTAAAACTTCATTGATTCCCACTACACTCAGAATAAATCCAAGATTTCTTAACATGGGTTACAAGGCCCTTCCTAATCTGACACCCAATTAATCTATTCAGCTCCATTTACTGCATCTCCCATTAGCTATGCTCTATTCACTGGAATTATCAATTTCCTACACCTATTGTCTCTGCTTTCTTGTCTCTGTATGTGTATATGTCTGTCCCTATCTCCTCCAGGCCTCTGCACAAGCCCCTCCTGCTAGAAACATCTCTCCTCTAGGTTTTAGCTAAGAAGTTATTTCTTCTGAGAACACTTTCTTGACCTCCCACTTTTGTGCTTTATAATTGCTCCTTACCATTTTCCCACTGTATTACAATACTGATATATGTGTCTGCATTCCCATTAACCTTTAAGCTTTCTGAGGACATACACCCTGTCCTCCTCATAGCATTTTCCCCTGGATCTGAATAATGCCTGGCACACAGCAGTCTATCAATAAATACTGAATTTATTAAGATTCTATTCAGAACTCAAAAATAAATTACCTCCCTAAATTTTTTTTTAATTTTTATGTATATATATATTTTATTGATTTCAGAGAGAGGAAGCAAGAGAAAGAAAGAGACAGAAACATCAATGATGAGAGAGAGTCATTGATCGGCTGCCTCCTGCATGCCCCCCCCTCCCCACTAGGCATTGAGCCCACAACCAAGGCATGTGCCCTAACCAGGAATCGAACCAGGATCTCCTGGATCATAGTTCGATGTTCAACCACTGAACCACGCCAGCTGGGCCTCCCTAAATTTCTGTTCAAATGCTATTATCACCTTTTGAAATAGTTATTAAAATTCCAAAAGAGTTTTCTTTTAATATCTAGAACACTTGCAGCCACGTTTCCTGAAAGAGAATTTAAACACATTTTAATACTAAACCAAGAGAAATGTATTGTAGAAAAGACTATGAATGGAAATTGGCCACAAAACCAAACACAACAACACCAGTTTCTAATTTCTATAACAAATATACATTCATTCAACAACTTGAGAAACATAGTGAACTAAGGTTTCTTTTACAGCTGAAGTTCTATACCTGCATTAAATATGTGAATGCCTACTAAGCACAAAGCTTTAGAATTCTATATTCGCAAACTCGTCTTCTCAGAGTACTTTCTATTCCCTCACACTTTGTCCTATCTTCTAATTACCTATTAATTTTTACCTATTCTATTGTGTCTGTGTAGCCCTTATCTCAAAAGTTATTCTGATTGTCCTGGCCAGTGTGGCTAAATTGGTTGGAGTGTCATCCCGTACACCAAAAGGTCTAGGGTTGGATTCCCAGATTCCCAGTCAGGGCACATACCCAGGTCGTGGGTTTGATCCCCGGTCAGAGTGCGTACAGGAGGCAACCAATCTCACATCAATGTTTTCCTCTTACCCTCTCCCTTCCTCCCTCTCTAAAATCCATACACACACACACACACACACACACACACACGTGTGTACATATATATATATCCATCCATCCATCCT